AAAGACTTAAGTAGCCATTTTACCTCTTGGTCAGATGGAACTTGCTTTAGCAAGGTTTCAGTTTTAGTGCTTTAATTCTTAAGAATCCTGTGAAAAATGCAAACCCTGCAGAAATTTGCAAAGGGAAGAGAAGATGAGGGGGAGAAAGATGATGCTCCAGTGAAGGGATGAGGAGCAACTGAGAAGTCTTTTACTTTGAATTAACATACTAAGAACCATCATCGTTCCTGAGAACTTATTCTTGCCAATTCTGAAGTCTCAGGAGGAATGAATTAAAAAAACAGCACTTCCCCATTTTTGGACACCTGTGTATTTGCAACAGGATCAAGTAGTTGTTATAGCTCACTCTGTGGTCTTCTAACCAAGCTACGAAGGACTACAGAATTCAACATCACTTTCCTACAGGAGTAGAGAGAGTCAATAGGAAGTAAAGGGGCTGCAGTAACTGCAAGCTTTTATTTTCACCCATATTGCCTTCACTATATCATGACAGTCCACTCTGGGGATTGCTGTAGACTAAATATACCCTCAAATGAAAAGCCTGATGATTTTCTCTCTCCTCCTCATTTCCATGTGACCAATATATAAAAAAAAAGCCAGGGAAAGATTTAGCAGGACTTGTATTACCCTAATCAATGATCAGAAAGCTTTAATTTACGTCCCTTTCAGAGAAATCAGCAGTTACTGGGAATAGCAAAAATGTAAAAGATAAAGGGACGACTTGAGCTCTTCCTGCCCAGTAAGAACAAGAGAAAGAAAAGTGAGATTTAAAAAAAAAAAAAAAAAACCACTCACATCTCCTAAAGACAGACTCATGACTTAAAAGTCATATCTTTTTGACAGTGTTTTATGAGATTATAGTGCGCAGTTTATCATGTTTTTTTAAATAACTTTTTTAAAAGAGGATTTCTAATAGATCCCTTTTAATAAAAAGTATGAAGGAGTACAAACTCCTCTGCGAGTACTAAAATGAGCTATAGAAAATATGAATTAAGTAGAACTTAATTAACTTGTCCAAGAGAGTATCATAGGAGAATTTCTGGACCAGTAATTAAGGTTCCAAATGCTTTTCTTCTGTTTTATCTTCTAGAAAGTACCTCCTGTGGCATTTGAACCCACCAGGACTGTAATTACGAATAACTAGAGATTTGGCAGTTGTAAATTAGGCGATATTACTTAGTGAGAAAGATACTAAAAATAGGCTTGAGAAACACAAATTAAATTCCCAGATCTCCTGCTGGCTTGCTTGGGAAAGTCATTCCCCTTCTCTTCTTTACTTGTTAGTTTCCCACTTGTAAAAGCACACTTAGAGCTACTGAAAACACATCTATATGACAACCTTATTAATTATTATTACTGACTTATTACTGAATTTAAATCAACGATTTAGAAATTTCGTAGTTATTATCTACTTATGAAAGCCTAAATTTTAAAGCAGCTAAAAAACCTAATCAACTTCGGATAACTACAGATTAAAATAGACTAATTATCAGAAAGAAATAATTCAGGTATTTTCCAACTCTTATTGGAACAGTTATAGTTTTTTGTGAATTAAATATACATGATAATTCTTTTATTTCTTTTAATCCGCTGATTTGTTTCAGTAACTAGATGCTCAAATCACTGGTTCAGTATTGTGAGCTTTGCCAGCAAAAATTTCTTATCTACAGTATGATGTCAGTTTTTAAAGCTCAAACTCTTCTGCCAAGAAAGACCACTCGAAAAACCAAAGCAACATAACCAATCCCTTTCTAAAGTGATAATTCATAGCAAGTGAAATTTTGAGTCTGGTATCTCTTCAAGTGTATAAAATGCTCTATCTTTTCACTAAAATGCTGCTGCTTCTGCACACAGTTGTGTCAAATTAACAACACTAATGAGCTCGAGCACCATAATCCAAAAGCTGTTAGCAGTGAAACAGGCAAAATTGAGGCACAGGGAAGAGCTGTTATTCTCCCATGTCACTCAACAGGTGTAAGGTACAAAAGAAAAAAAAAAGACCAAACCCAAACCGAATCTGAATCACAGTCTAGAGCCTCTCAGGAGGGTCTTAAAAAAAAAAAAATTTTTTTTTTCTAAATTTGTTACCCCCCTTTCTGCAGTAAAACCAGAGCAGAAATGCAAATTTACCCCACATATTATAAGCAGTAAATATAAAATAGGAATTCCAGAAACTCTCAAGGGGGACTTTACTGCTATTTACAATAAGGCAGGCATTTTACCCTTTTCTTTTAAGGTTCAAATGATCGAGAAATATACACCTATGATTTGGGATTATTCTTTTTTTCATTTTTTTTTTTTTAAGCTGTGACAAGTTTGTGTCCAAGAAATTTTCCTAGCACTAACTATACATGGAATCAGAACATGGAAATATTCCTATCTTGTACTAGAAATAGAAAGAGTCTTGCAAACATTTAAAGTTGCAGTTCAGCTTCAGCATCTACAGGAAGGAGAAAGGAAAATAAAGTAAAATACACCACTGATTAGAATTTACTGTTTTCTAAAATTTAAGTCAGTTTAAGTTGTATGAACTAAGGCAAGTTGTTTCGTAGTAATTTTGGACACAAAATGAAAGTCTATTTGACAACTCTACGCAGTCAGCTACATTCTTGCGTGCCCCCCTCCCAATTTTGAGCTCCAAAAATGGATTCTTGATGGAAAAAGTGATTTAACTATATCTAGCGGAAACTACAAGAAGAAAAAAAAAAAATCCTAGCCATTCTTAGAAGTACTGCATTTGCTCATAAATTAAATTCCAGGAAGTTCTTCCTTTAATTTAACAGTATTCCAAACAAATATTATTTTCTGTGCTTTGGTTGACATCATTCATCTTTTGGTAGATTTCCTATTTTAAACCTACTCATGTAAAGGAATTAAAGTGACAAAACTAGAAGCAATAAAGATTTATTATTCATATTCCCAGTTTTCATGTGGTTCAATTTTTAGATGTCACAACTTAATTTATTCTGAGAGAACAGCCTTAAAATTAACCAGCATTATCACTTCACAAAGAAGGATCTTTTTAAAACCTAAGAGCAAATGATACTTACCAAACACAAGTATGAACAACGTATTTAAAGATACCACCCAAAAGACATGTTCCTGCAAGGAGTATGGGGGAAGGAGGGAGGAAGACGACAAGGAAACAGTACATAAATATCAGTCATTTAAATAAGTGACTTTACTTCTGTATCTAAACTTCTTATTTCAACTGCCTATTATTACCAGAACTTGCACATCTCATGTTAGAACCAAGAAATTTGCTCTAACACAAAGACCAAAACATGCAGGACAGATTATGAAAGCATCTGTTTACATTCATGGACATTTACCTAGATAAGAGCACTTACATTTGCTTTAACACTCATTTTGTAAAAATAAGCTTTTATTTTAAAATCAATATAAATAGTTCTACCTTTAAAAACAATTACATGAAGTGTATGTGGATATTTGTTTTATAAATGAGAAAATGTTCGTCTGAACTTTCCACAATTAGACTTTGTCACAAAAAGCCTGTTAACAAAACTGACAGCTCTCACTCTAGAAATGACAGCACGTCTCTGTTTTTTAATATTCCTTTTAGCCAAGATGTGAACTCAGCCATAAGTACACTGGAATTTTAGTTCTTTTGATATTAATATTTAAGGTCAATCACTAATGACATAATTAGTAATGGATAATGACATTATTTTAGACATGAGACATGACATTAAAATAAGACATTTTATTTCAGACATGAGACATTTATCCACTACAGTATCTAATAAACACATTCATATTTAAGAATTGTATTTCTTTCACACAGTAAATAAAGTAAAACTTATACTGCTGGAAGAGAGCACAGATCTTTTCTCCCTTTAAAATATAAATGACTCCTCTTTTTAAAATAAGTGATCTGGCAGATCACGCCCAATGAATGTAGCTGTGATGGGTTAAAGTTTTGTTGCCATTGACTCCTTGCGCACTCTCTCCCCTGACCCTGAAATCAGAGCTAGACATCTCCAACAGTCAGGTAGGACGGGCAGCAGAGAGTGCCCTTCAAATAAACTATAACAAAGCCCACTAGAAGATATGCATTATATATGTAAGAGTTTGTCAGGGAGATAATCAACAGGGGTTCACCCAAAGACAAGTGTCAAAGAGCCAACAGCCTTTTTAGGAGTGATTTGCAAAATTATCGTAATTATAAATATTTTTGGAACCAATTTAAAAGATACATGCTCCACAAGACAGACCGACTACTGTGAAGATTAAAAAAAAGATTTTATACTGATAGCAATTAAAATAATATTCAAGAGGGGAAAAATTCTAGGGAAGAACAAAAAAAACCAACCCAAATAAAATCAGGAAACATAACTGAAGATCTTAAATTTTAAAGTCTAGTCTACACTAAAAATTCACTAGTGGTGTTCTGGCAGTATTAGGACAAATCAGAGAAGGCTGAATGAGGACACTATTTTAATCATAACATAAAGAGCAAAAACTTAAGGCTAGAACAAATATGTATTTTCAGCGTACACTTTTTTAAAGGTTCTAATTTTTATTTACAGTGGTGTACTTGATCCAAAGTTACCTATGTCTTTTAAGAAATTTCACTTTTATGCCACACACACATGGAGCTCTACTCTGTGAAACTCCTGAAGAAGGCAGTTTGCTCAATCATGACTTCATATGAAAGTCTCTTTAAGAATACATATCATATGAAAATAGGGACTTCAAATAGAATGATGCAATTTTTAAAAATGCAGTTTACTTTTAAAAAAGCCTTCTATAGAAATTCTTGAAATGCAGGATTTCACTTACTAAAAAAACTAGAGATCCATCGAGTCCAAGCATCTGTGAAGATAAGAAAGTTAATTTTATTTACTCATCAGAAAAACTAAGCAACACGCATCTAAAGCCTTATAGAAGTCTCTTTCACACCAACTTTTAATGTCCAATACGGTCAAAAGCTTTTTTTATTGCTAAACCAACAGAACCTGGACATAAATTCTTAAAGATAAAGATAGAAACTAAGTTCAACACAGAAAACACAGTTGATCAGAGGCAGTGATATACATGTGGAATATCTTAATATACATGTATTTACATATGGCAAACCAAACATATAATCAATTAATTTATAGGCTATTTCTCTCCAAGATTTTGAAGACTCTGACAAAGATTTTGTATTTACAAAAGCTTTTAGTCATTGAACTGTTATTTAAAAACATGCTGAAACAAATCTATTACAATGCAAGATAAATTTTTTTTTGCTTCCTAATTGCAAAGTATCAGTTTCTGTTGCACTGAGAAAAGTCAAAGGTTAATATTTTATCTTCAATGTATAAAAGCAACTAGTAACAGGATAATGTTGCTACACTGTATGTTATTAAGTTTAGAACAGAATTGGTTTACAGCTAGGGAAGACAGGAAACAAATCCTCTATCACTCTGCACAGCTGTTACGGGAAGTGTCCACAGAACAGCCAAAAATAGAGCATCTATAAAAAAAAAATCTCTCCTTTTCCCCCACTTCAAGGATTTCTTACTATTTCAATCGAGACACTCCTACTCCACAATTACTGCTGTAAAGTACCAGGTTCAAGGCTATTCTGTACCAGGATTTTGCACTAAGTTCCAAGATATTAAAGTTGCACATATTTTACAAAGTAAACCAAGATGCAAACATTTTTGAAAATTCAGAAAGCTTGCATGCTATTTTCACAAGATGAAACAGCAGAAAAGCCTACCCCACTTTTGATACGAAATGCCAACTAGGTGGCAATTGCCTATGCCAGCACATAGGATTGGAAATGATTATGAGAGTTTGCTGAAACTGGTTTCTACATTCATGGAGAGGCATCAAAATATTTTCAATTAGGAGTACGTCAACTCTTCCCAGCACATAAACTGCGTTCAGAAATGTAACACTTTCGTCTTGAGATACTCAGTAGAATGGTTCAGAAACCTGAATTTACGTGTGCCCTTTTCCACTAAATATCTTTCAAAACAAACTAAGAAGTTGTAACTAGGTACAAAACAAAGATCAAGACCTGTCCCTCGTGATGAAAACTGTACTTCTACTACACTGCAATCAAGGCAACAGCTATATCACAGCCTAGGAATACAGTGACTAGCTTTACAACTGCCTGCCATAGGCACTAGTGACGCTGGTAAACTACATGAAGCTGCTGTACCTACCTTCAGGTAGATTTTGCTGCATGTGATGAGCTTTGAACTCAGATGCTGGCTACTTCTAAACCAGCTGCAAAAAACTAGTTCTTGAGTCTCTAGACTACTCTGATTACAGTGTACATGCATCTCATGCTCTAATTATGGAATTTGTGATCCATAAACAAAACAGAAGCAATGTTACATTAAAATGCTCCATCATTTTTTAAGGAATACATTTGTCTTTTGCAAGTATGTAAATAAAGTAAATTAACCGAAGTCTCCTGTTCTCTCTTTTCTTTAGTTTAATGCTGTCATGAATACAAAAACTAAGCATTAAACTATATATAATGCAACACCTATGTGCTCCTAATCTGGCCTAGCATCCTCAATGCGAGCTGAAATTCATTTCTAAACCTGACCAAGGTGAAGACTTCAGAAACGTCTGTGCTAAAACATATTTTAAGCTGCTACTATATTTCAAATCAAAGAAATGCCTTTTTGATAGTTAACAAGTAGCATAAAAACATTTTAATACAATTACTTTTTTAGGTCACTAAAGCCTCTTACTGATAGTTTTCACACTAGACTGGTATCCAAATCTATCCCAAATGGATTTTAACACAGCAATAAGACAAATCATTTCAAGTATGAGTCTGAATTACTCAAGTCAAGAAAATGATTCTTACTCACTCGCTCCCAAGTAAGCTCTTCTGCTGCTCGATCCCATTCCAAAGCATTCCAGTTCATGTCATCTGAGGAGACAATGGCCATTTTTACAGCTGTTAGACTCACCCAAAACAAGATGTAACCACTCCATGCTATGTTTTAAATGAACAAAAAGACTTAAGTGCATAACATTCAACCCGTAACTCCTGATAACTTTTTCAGCAAGCAAACGCTTCAGCACTCAAAAGAAATACATGAAATTTGCAAAAACAAGATAAATAAGCTGAAGTGGGAATTTACACAGCTTCTTTGAATTATGACAGTTCTATTTTCAATGGTTTAATTTCTATTTGAAAAGAACTAGAACATTACTGTTTGAGTCACCTGTTACCTTGTGCTCCATTGTTTGCATCTGCTGCATCTTCTACTACAGCATCTTCTTCATCTTCATTATCCTCCTCTTCTTCATCTACTTGTTCTTCTTGAATTTCAGGGTTCTCGCCTACAACTACATTCTCAGCAGCTGGGTTAGCAGGTTGATCAAGCACAGCGTTTTCAACACCTCCATTTACAACAGCCTGAGCCTGCAAAAACAGGATTTAGTATTAAGTTAAATTGATCAACCTCTCTCTGTACTTCTGTATATAGAAAAAAAGAATAGTATTAAAAAGATGTTAATAGTGTATTTTTTTCAGAAAAGCATTAAATTTGGGACCACTAAACCTTTTAAAAGAGGAAGAGAAACATTCAGACTTCTTCAGAGTAGCTGAGGTTGGAAAGGGCCTCTACAGAGCATCTAGTCAACCCACCTACTCAAAGGAGGGTCAGCTATAGCAGGTTGCTCAGCACTGCTTCCAGTTGGCTTTTGAGTAACTCCAGAGATGGAGACTTCACAACCTCTCTGAGCAACCTGTTCGGGTAGTTGATCACACTTACAGTAAAAAAAAAAAAACACCAAACCAACCACATCTGGGTTTTTTTGGTTTGTGGGTTTTTTTTTTTTTTGTCTAAATGGAATTTCCTGTATTTTAATTTGAGCCTACTGCCTGTTGTCCTGTCACTCAATACGACCAAGATGACTCTGGCTCTGTCTTCTTTACATCCTCCCATCAGGCATTTATACATGCTGATAAGGTCACCCTGAGGCTTCTCATCTCCAGGCTGAATGGTTCCAGCTCTCTCAGCCTCTCATCATATGTCAGATGCTCCAATTCTTTAATCATTTTTGTTGGCTCTTCGCTGCACTCACTCCTGTATGTCCATGTCTCTTTTGTAGTGGGGGAGCCTAGAACTGGATACAGCACTCCAGGTGTGGTCTCACCAGTGCTCAATACAGGGGAACTCTCTTGATATTATGAAAACTATCATTATATTAGAAAGATGATAATTCAAGAACAACCCAAATCAGTCATCAAGCTGAGGATCTTTACCTCGGTCTTTAAAAAATTGACACTTAGTACAAAAGAAAACAAAATTTTAATTATTTCCCTCTACGCACGTATTGCTTTATCATCTCTTCTCCTGCCCAAGAGGCTCTTGTAAGCACTGAAGGGGTGCACGTGTGTGTTGGGGGGGGTGGGGGGAGAGCAAAGAAGCTCTAACTTCAGAGGTTTCAACAAAACCTCCAACTGCTTTGAGAACAGTGAATTGTTACCTCATGAACTACTGAAATACTTATGAAAAAGACAAAATAAAAGCAAGCTGCATCTTCATTGACTACACTAATAATTCAGCTTTATATGCACAAAATTATCTTAAAAAAAGTGTAAAGATACAGACATAAGAATCTAAACAATGTTAAAGCTACTTTACAAAAATTATACTATAACAAATCCATTAACATTCCATTTTACAGAATTTCAAAAACATTAACAGTGGTGTCACTGAGTTTATGCAGGAACACGTGTTCAACTTCTGCTAACGTACAAATAGAGATACCCTGCAGTAAAATAACATTACTGCTGGGTTCCGATAATGTATTTATTCACAAAATCACATTTTCTAAATTTATCATGACCTACTGAGCAGTTAAGTTTTACCTCATTTTGTTGACCAACACCATTGAGTGGCTGTTGCTGATTTTGTTCCAACCACTGTGGTGCTCCTCCGTGGACGATCTGTTCACGTAACCAAACAAGGCTGATAAATGCACACAGAGTACATGTTACCACAAAGCAGCCCTGCAAACAGTCAGCCAGTAAGTTCTCCCTGTTAAAGAAAGAAAGAAAAAAAAAAAACCCAAACATTAATGACAAATATATTTTTGCTAAACTTAGTCATTGTTAACTACCAAACAGATCCTCCTAGTACAAATCAACAAATAAACTGGTATTTGTGCAAAAAGCTGAATTTATTTATGTGTCTAGGTGAAGAACGTATCTAGATGTAATTTTTACTTAATTTTAAAAAAATCTGTTCAAAGAAGGTTTCTTTAGAAAGGCTGTATGTACCTGTGTACAAATGGTTTTAAGTGCCAAGATAAACACTGATTTGGAAAAGGTTTTATTTCCCTCTGGTTTGGTTTGTGAAATTACTACTGTTTAAACATAAATACTCCTGCAAAACAGGATCTGACTCAGTATGAAAAAAAGCTTCACGAGTAGTTCAGGAGAAACAATCTTCAAGAACAGCAAAGGAAACACAATAGTCGCTAAGTAAATTACTTGCTACAGTAAAAGGTCTGTTTAAATGGCTAGATGCATAATATTTGAGGGGGGCCAGCACAACCACAACCATGGACTTCCAGAGAGCAGACTTTGGCCTGTTCAGGACGCTGGTTGAGGGAGTCCCTTGGGAGACAGTCCTGAAGGGCAAAGGGGTCCAGGAAGGCCGGACGTTCTTCAAGAAGGAAGTCTTAAAGGCACAGGAGCAGGCTGTCCCCATATGCCGTAAGAAGAACGGGTGGGGAAGACGACCGGCCTGGCTGAACAGGGAGCTTTTGCTGGGACTCAGGAAAAAAAGGAGAGTTTACCGCTTGTGGAAGAAGGGGCAGGCGACTCAAGAAGAGTACAGGGATCTCGTTAGGTCGTGCAGAGAGGAAATGAGAAAGGCAAAAGCCCAGCTAGAACGCAACCTGGCC